CAAGTGAGATAATTTAAATCTATTATGATTTTATTTTATTTAAACACATTAAATCTCAGTATTTTATTAACTAAAACATAACAATATTGTTTAAGAATTAAGATCCTAAATGAGAGTAAATAAAATATGTGTTGCTTTTTAATCTAAAATATCATACACCTTCAGCCCATTTACCGATTTTATTCAAATGTATTTTAAACATACCTAGCAGTTTTTAAAAAATACAATACATATTTAAATTCGATATAGTTATTTTAAACGGTAGTATAATGTTAAGATATTACTGTTACATAATTTGTAAAAATATAAAGATAGCATAAAAAAAAACAATATTATTGAATCGGAATCACTTCAATTATTAATATAAACATTTCGATTTGTAATTTGACGAAAAACTCATGGAGGTATACAAATTAAAACAACTTAATGAATTTGTTTTAATATTATTTTAGAGACATGTTGAAATTAGGATCATCAAAACCGTGGTTTGATGCTATGGAACTACTAACGGGGCAAAGAGAAATGGATGCTGGACCTTTGTTGAACTATTTCAACCCTCTGTACGAATGGCTTAAAAATGAAAATAAAAGGACTGGAGAACATATTGGCTGGGAAACAAATAAAAAAAGTAATTACCATGCACGTCGTAATATACCTATATTATATTCATAGGACGTGTCAATTAGATTTTTGATAAATATATTTTAGAATTCCAAAAAAAAAAAACACTATATTGTTGATTATCTTTTAATATTGATCTTTTTTAAATATTATTTTAATCAATATGTATAGTGTTTAAAATTTAAATAGGTATTTATGTATTAAGTAATTTATAAAATTATTTGTTTGTAATAATTCTTATCATTTTTTTTTTCAGTTTGCTTAAAGAAGGGTGAAACCAGTCAACCTTAATTTTGATTTATTATAATTGTACTCTTTTTATTAGTGATCGACAGTATTATAATCATATAACTATTATGGTAAATCGTTTATGAATTATTCGATATGATAGTTACACTAGGTTTATATGTTTCAGTACATTTTTAATGTGTACATTACTATTTCATTAATTTATTAATATATTAAGTTATGAATTTAATTTCATAAATAATTTAAATTTTACCCAACTTAATTTAACCTAATAATAATGTTTTATTGTTATAATTTATTTATTTATTTATTTAAAAAAAATATACACTTTTCCGCTATTTATTTTTATTTTTAGTTGATTATAGGGTGGGCCAATGAAAGGCCAATGCACTAAAGCATTGAGACCCTTTGTGCGCACCCTGCCACCTAAGTACCTAAAAATGTATATCTCAATACCACATGTATATTATGATATAATATGTTATGCTACCAATAACACCTATACTGCAGCTATACCTACTCATCAATAAATAATACATATACATTGCATATACATATTGCAAACATATTGGGCATTGGCATACGCATTATGATGGTTTTCAGAATAAAATTTAACTTTTATGCATCGGACATTGGCGAGCAAGATCGTGTGGCAGGACCTTGTAGACGTTAGGTAACTACAAAGTATATAGAACACAGTCATACCTAAATGTCGTTATAGTCATTACTTACGCTAATATTGTATACTTTTAAACAATCAAGAAGAGCTATGACAGCTAATCTAAACAAAGATCTTCAGCATGAAGTTGTAGTTAGGTATTGACAAAACTGTGGTAGACTATGTAGAAGTGTAGACAGTGACAGTAAAGGATTGTACATCAACGGTTAGACCACTATAGGTATTATTGAACACATAGGTGCAAATAGTTAAAAAAAAAAAATAATACATTTGGGGTTGGGCTGAAGCTCAGATCTATACTTAGTATATATATTTATTTAGTATATATTTTTATGATGATTTTAAGTCTTAATAGCCACAAGAAATTAGTTTTTTGGGGGCTATAGAAATTTTAGGGGTATAAGCCCCCAACCACTCCCTTATTTTCGCCTATGAAGTTGAACACTATTTTTGACAACGTGAGTACCAATCTCAGGGGGTTAGGCAACACTTCCACATGATGCATTTATGCTCCGCAAGGGTTAAGAATGTGTCAGTACTGAAAGAGTCAACAGCAGTCGCTAGATGTGGCCCAGTTCATGGCACAGCGTACCTAAAGCGTAAGACTTAATTTAACTCTATTCCAGTCTAGATTGTGCGTGTATTCAACTCAGGGTTGGCACGAAAAAGCCCACCCCGAAAAAACCCGGGCTGCTTTTCTGGGTTAAAGTTTAACCGTTAAACCCACTCATTTTTTTTTGAAAAAACCTATAAATCCCGGGCTGCTTTTCTGGATAAAATACTCTTTTTTTTTTTACTTATGTTAATTTTCAGAAAAATTTTCCTTATAGGAATTATTTATTTTTCCAATTAAAATATTAAATTGTTATGAAAAAAACCTTATTATTTTTTTTTTTTTATTAGGTAGGTACAAATAAAATTATATAATAGAAAAAACTACACACCAACCGCGGTCAATATAAATGTTAACAATTTTTTATTTTTAACAAGGTATTAAAATTTAAAATATAAAATAGGTAACTTTCCTTTAAAGTTTAAATACTTATACAAAAATTAATAGTTAAATAATAACAAATACTTGTTAATGAAATAAATAATGATAGCTAGTCTGTCAGTCTGATAGTTAATGGTAATTAATAGTTGATAAGAAGTTTAATTAAAAATAGTCCTCCTCGTCTTCACCTTGAGGGGTTTTTATGTTTAGAAATCGGTGGATCTTTACCAATTTGGCTGCCTTTTCATGACCCAACCGATTTCTAAGTTTGGTTTAGGACTGCAGGTGGCATGACTAATAAATTTACAGTTTAATAACAATTTAACAACTAACAACAAAACAAAAAACTTAATAAAGCCACTAGGCACTAACGTCAATAAATATTAACAATTAACAATTCGGAAAAGTTCAGAATGTCAACATCTTATATTATTATCATATAGTTTTGGCGGGGCCAGTTTAGAGATTACGCGATGACGGAAAAATCAAATAACAGTGCAGCTAATACATGGAAAAAAATTCTGATTTTTTCGTATGGGTTTTTTCAGAAAAAAACCCGATAAAACTCCCCATATTTTTACAATAAAACCCACCGGGTTATTGGGTTTTTAGGGTTTTATTGGAAAAAGCCCGGGTTTTTGCCAACCCTGAATTTCAACTCAACTAGGCACCTACCAAACACAAAGGCACAATATCAACTGCATTAGAAAGAAAAAAAATATGAACAATTACAGTATAGTATCGTAACCACGGACTAAATAACTAAGGTTCAAGATTAAATGTATTTGTATATTTTTTTTGGTTGATTATACATTTATACTGTGTGTTGACAAGTGCTATAGGTAGGTACATACAATAAAAATTGACTTTGAATATACTTTACAAAAAGACAGATTTCACAGGTTTGAGTAATTTTAAGTGCAATAAATTACAAACTATATAATCAATAATAATAAATATTTCGATTTCATTCAATCATACATTTTTGTTTGTAGACATTAAAAAAAATTGTTTGGTCATTTTAATTCAATATTTGATATAGGTACCTACAGATTATTATAGTATAGTACACAAGTTTATAGCCATATTTATTATTTATAACTTGTAGATATAATTTTTTTACATAGACATTTCTTTTGGTTCAACGCTGATATTCTGACCACAGTAACTTCAGCTTATTTTAGACAATTAAAAGGAGGTAATGGAGGGCATCAGCAGTGGCGTCCGCAGGGGGGAGGTTAACGGGCTGAAGTCCCCCCATTTCCCGTATTATTATTACTTTTCAAAAAAATATTAATTAAGTTTAAACTGTCAACTATAGAAAATCTCATATATGTCTTACCAGAATGAATTCATTTTTGAAAAAACATTGAATTTGCATACCAATTTTCATAAATTATCTGTAATTTTTCGGTAAAAGTATGAACTACTTGTATGAAAGACCTTGTATTAAATTGTCTAGCCTTAGATATACATATTTTATATTTTATAAGGTTTGAACTACAAATTAACCGTGGTTTTGACGAAATTTGAACTTTAAATGCTTATAAAAATAACCATGATGCCTATGTATTGTTAATATTTTAGCTATAATAAAAATAACTTACGAATTATATTTTTAAGCTTTGTCATTTATTTTTTTGATATTTTTTATTGACATTTATAGAAAAAAAAATTTAATTAATCAAATACAATCCAAGTTAAGACGAGATGATCAAGCTTGTTACCAAACAATTTAAATAAATTTTCATGATTTTTTCTCCAATTATTTTTAAAAGCACTAAGAATTTTCAATTTCGACCTCCTAAAAGTACTAACTATAGATCCAATTTGCTTCCAAAAACATACACTGGGCATCGAAGCTTATGATCAGAGCATTTTTTCTACCAGAAGAGTTGAAAAGTTACAAACATTTTAAAATACCCCAAATAAACGTCTGCATTTATTAGACTGGACAAAATAAAAATTAAATTGTAACTAACTTTCAAGCCCTTCCCATTGAAAAATCCTGAGGACGCCACTGGGCATCAGTATATTATAGCTGCATAAAAGCAAAGTTAGTACAAGCGCATTATGACTAGGGGAAAAGAACGAAAAGCGACTTTTCACAAAACACTGCGAACAGCAGACAGCGGAACGGTGCACGAAATATACGTGCTTAAAACCTGCCCTAAAGGCTGCAAACGAGGGGGGACAAAAATGTCGTGAGGGCGAACTTGAAAAAAGGCGATCGTAAACAGATTTTGACCACGGGCCCAACGTATTAATTGTGAAGCTTTTGAAAACAAATTACACTGGTTAACCCACCTGATGTTCAGTTTTCTGTGATAAACTATAGAAGTGATAAGCATAAGATTATAACAGAATAATAATAATGAAAAATAATATAAATTTTAATATTTGATTTGTGAGTTGTGACTTGTGACGGGATTACGGGAATCGACATTATTCCTTTAAATGTTCAATGTCTCAAACATTTTCCGGAAATTAAAAAACATTTTGCCAGTACAGCAGTTAAAAATGGTAAAATATTTGAAACAAGACGAGGCCATCAACATCGATCAAGAATTGTTTAACGTGTATAAATTTAGCGTTGACCAATTAATGGAGCTGGCCGGCTTAAGTTGTGCAACAGCTATACAAAAATGCTTTCCACCAAAAAGTCATCAAAGGGTGTTGGTGCTCTGCGGACCAGGTAACAACGGTGGCGATGGTCTGGTGTGCGCAAGGCATATGAAACTGTTTGGTTACTTGACCGAAGTGTATTATCCTGTGCGCACCGACAAGATTTTGTACAGTAATCTTGTGCATCAGTGCGAGACTTCTGGTGTGCCCGTGTCTGATTCCCTGGTTGACAACATATCCACGTACGACCTCATAGTAGATGCGCTGTTTGGTTTTAGTTTCAAGCCACCAGTGCGAGCGAAATTTCTGCCTGTCATGAATGCGTTGAAAACAGTCGACAAACCAATCTGTAGCATAGATGTCCCCAGCGGTTGGAGCGTAGAAGGAGTTCCTGATAGCGATGGAATTAATCCAGAGCTATTAATTTCGTTGACAGCACCAAAGGAATGTGCCAAAAGTTTCAAAGGAAAATATCACTATTTAGGTGGAAGATTTGTACCCAAAGAACTGGAAGAAAAATACCAATTGGAATTGCCTGCATATCCCGGTGCAGAATGTTGTGTAAAATTATAAACGCATTTGTTTGTTATGTACAATTTAATTTTAAAAATATTTTTAAGTTTATATATATTTATTTTGTGCTTAAAATGTTAAATAAAAATAAATTTAATAAAATAGAGTTTTATGTATTTTCTAAGTACTAACGTATTCTTATTTCTATTTGCAATGAATTTAAGTATGCAATAGTATAGTACATAATTTTAGGAAATCTTTCAATCCTCTAACCAGTCTAACCTTTGTTTTAGTCTCCACATTAACAACATAACTGTAAGTAGAGCTCTAAAAGTTTTTGTTTCATCAAACACAACATTTATCTCATTACCTTAATCAGCTGTCAGTGTAATCTTTACTTTTGTTGAATGTTGAATGCTAGGTGACTACAATTTTCTTAAGTTTCTAACTCTATAGATGTATATTCTGCTCCCGGACTGCGTTCTAATATACATATTAGAAGAACTTGCATAACATCAACCTGAAATCCCCGTTGCTTTTTCAAACTCGCTCATCACACGACTGCTTATGAATACAACCATCCGCTATAACAGATACTTTACGTCACTGATATCACGTGTTAATTTCAATGTGTAAGTTAGCTCTCTCCTATTTCATTACTGAATTAATTATTACAACCTTTAATGATGTTATATTTTTTAGCTACTTTTATTTATATTTTACTTAGTAATTCACAACCTATGTTAATAGTTGGCTTCAATTAAAAAAAAAAATTCTTTGCTTTACCATGTTACCTGTGAAAGTAGATCAGAATATTATAATAATAAACAAATTCTGATTCTATTTCTTCTTTTGCTCTTTGACAATATTAAATGATTTTGTTAATAATTATCAAACTACATTGATTTTTGCCTAATGTGAGCAGCCACGTTAATATGGGCAAATTGGTCTGATCCCAATTAAAATATATACTAACTAAATAAATTCGGTTAATATGGCCAACCACTTCATGTGGGCAACTGTATATCACTAAATATTTCACATTTTCACAACTTTTTAGCGATTTAAGTACATGAATATTTCATGGATTTTAATGTTAATGATGCAATTATCAGCCATGTCTATAAGCAACAAAATCAAAGCATTTATATTTTTTAAATTTCTTATATTTTATATACTTTTCCATTCATGATTGTTTATATATGGGGCACGTTACAGGTTAGTTAGCGCAAGTCTAACACGAAAAACTTAGAGTATTCGTGTTTCAGATATGTTATTTCAATTATTTTATAACGTTATTTTATAATCAATTTTTACTAGCATTTTATTTTTTGCCTGTCATCTATTTTTAAATTAAATCTCAATTATTTTATTTACTTTCATGTGTTATAATTTAACTATGAACTATCAAACAAGATTAGTTAATATAATTAAAAACAATAGATATCTAAATAGTTGATATCCGCCAATGTCTATCAGTACTAATACAGTATCTAATAAATAATGCTAATCATGCACACAACCTACCAATGAAAATTGAAGTTAAAAATATAACAATATTGAAAGAAAACCAAATATATAATGCTGTGCCAGACAATATTTTGGCGGTTGGAATAATGAAAATGTTAAAAAAAAAAAAATAACAAATATTCTTAAAACATGAACATGTTCAATGGGACCCAACAATTATGAAAGCAAAAATATATTTTTAAAAGAATAATACATTTTTTTTGTCATACAAAATATTGTTTTATTATGTTTTTCCTCATGGGTAGTTAATAACAATAAATACACATTTCAGATAATAAAATATTATAATACATAACAATTTCACTAAATATTATATAATACTTACAAACAATAATAATACAAATAATATCTTGTTTTTAGATATTAAGAACCATGGTTGATACATTAACTTTGAATTTGATTTCCTTTTTCAAATGTAACTAAAGAAAAACAGACAACAAAAATAGTCAAAATCAATTTTGCTACTTAAAAATATTTTATATTATTATTTAGTTTGAGTAATAAGAATTTAAACTACAATAAAAACAGAATACATCTGATGTATGGTGCAAATGTCTAAAAAATGTCTTCAATTATATTGATTACCGACCCTAATATTATTATTCTTTTAACTATGTAATAATAATAAAAAAAATATATCTAAAATCTTAAAATTAATGTATCCCTACTAATCCATACCCAAAACTATAAATAGTCATCATAATTAACAACTGTAACTCAAATAAATCATTAAGTTTAAAAAACTTCAACTATGTGAAATATAAAAAGAATTTAAAAAAGTTATCTTCCAAAGAAATTGAACCAACCAATTGAGAATAATTCTTATTTGTATTACCTCATCCGCTTCATTATTAAATGAAGACTTTGATAATTCCACTTTATCATCAACCACAGTTAAACCGTAATGTTGACACTCTTTAATGGTTTCATGAAGTTCATTGTGCAGCAACATTTTAGATAAGATTGAAATTGGAAAGTAATTATTTTTGCAATTAAAACCCATACACATTGATTTTAATATGTTCCTAAAAGTGTATTATATAAATTATATTTTAATTACGGAAAAAATAAAATAAAATATTTTATACTTTCTTAGCATTGGTAATTGTACACAAATAACACACTGATGCATTGGTGGAAATGTATTGTATGTTTCAAATAACTGTCCAAAATTACCGTTCATAATATTCAGTGATAATAGCACTGCCATTTTGATTAAAGAATTCCTAAAAAAAAAAATGTACACATATACAACTAGCTATAACCAAAATAAATATGTAATCTCAATTTTTATTTAAGATAAAGTTTACATTTTAAAGGTTTATTTTTATAATGTGACTATATAGCTCATAATGTATGGTTTTTTTTTTTTAGTTAACTCTAGCTATGAATATGTTATCATCTATCACAACATTGAGATTCAAAATGTGAAAAAGTGCTACAGCTAAAGAACTGTTAAAATAATGTTTGGTGTCCTTAGATAAATATTTAATTTGGCTGTAGAAACTTCCCAAGTGTTGGGTATTTTATACGTAGTAGCCTTTAAGTATTATATACATTATGACTATTAATTGATGCCAGATTTTTAAAATTTCCTTATAAACACAGAACAAAATAAAATACTGATATAAAATTTTTCAGTAAAAAAACTAAGTAAACTTTACCTTAAATAATTTGATTATTAATAAACTGACTTCTTTGATATAAACGGCAAAGCTTGTTGAAGAACATTATAATCACCTAAATTTGTAACAATCAGAAGAGATACCATTTCCGAACAAAGCTCATTTGTTGATTCGTCAGAGTCTTCTAACAATATTTTAACAATTTTAAAAATGCTTTCATGAAAATGCTTCATATTTAAAAATGGATCGAATGTATTTACATCATATTCATAACATCTATGAACAACATTGAAAATAAAATACACAATACATTAGTTGCTTTTAAACATCATAAAATGTTAATATTAAAACTTACTTATAAGCCGCATATGCATGAAAACGAATAATAGGTGGCAAAATAGCCATCCAATCTTGATTAGACACGGCTTGTATAGTAGCATCTTGTCTTATAGAATTTAAACGGTCATCAATAAAATCATAAATAATATTAAATGGTACATTTTCAACTGTGAGCACCCTAAAAATGTTTAAGAATAACAAAGTAATAATAAATATTATTACCTAGTCTAATAAAAATTGTCTATTACTCATTTAAAAGATATGATACAGTTTTCCTTAGAACTGGCGGTGGTCTTAAAATATGAGGTTTGCTTAATGAATTACCAGCAGCTGAACGGCTAAAACATTTAACCATTTTATGAGGTTTAAATTCCAACTGGTGCACAAGTCTCTTAGATGTTCTCCTAGATAAAAACACATAACAAAATTAAATTAAGTATTGGCTATGGAGACATTCTACGGTCACGAGAAAGTAAAATAGCGGTTATAAAATAAAATAATGTTTGAAAAAAGAAATGCATAGACTTAACTAGGTATATATTTAACAGATGACTACTACAATTTTCTTGCTATAGTAAACTTGGTGTTACAAAATGGGCTTTAAGCCCAAACCAGTAATTGCCTTAGTTTATATAGTTTATATTATTGTTTACATGTTAATGTATAACACTTGCATATTTAAATTTGTACATTATGTTCATATAAGTATCAAACCTCTACGCAATAATTTATTGATGAATAAGGTAAATTAAATTTTACTCACATCTTTATTTCCTCCTTGGGACACATTTCCATGCATATTCCTTTCACTGGTAACATTATATGTAATATTTCATTCGTTTCGTTATTTTAGTAATTTCTATTACCACAGAAAAACAGAATAATACTGCCTATTACAGTATTACACCATCCATCGACAATCCGCTCAAATATTAAATACAGATAGTTGATTATGAGTGATCCCTAATTAGCCCCAAAACCACAATTATTCTATATACTTTTAAATTCCCAGAGACCAGTCCGTCATAATTTCAGTTGTATCGATTAATCCGTAGTTTTGCGTTATAGTAAATTGAAAATAACTATATTATGAAAATATGATATTGAAAATGTTTTACCTTCTTAAACAAAGTTATAGACTATAATAGGTAGTCCTCGGTGACCGGTGTATATCAATAAACAAGGTTCAGTTGTTACTTGTTCGTTAAAAAAATGTCTTTATCACAGATTCTCCAACACTGATATCACGGACTAAGATATCTTAGTCCGTGACTGATATTGTCTTATCTATATTTGGGGCTGACAATGTTATCATGAAATTGTGATTTGTGATTGACAATCATAATATTATTAACATATAATAATAATTATTATAAATTTTCGACTTCATCCTCTCAGTTGCAGCTCTACTTCGTTAAACATTGAAATTTACAATTGTTTATTTTGTAATTTACTCAAGACTATCATATTATAGATTCATGTCTGTAATGAATTACATATTATTTGGATGAAATGTTGGCGACACGATCAGGTACAACTATAGTTTTATTTGTGTATCTGTTTATTTATCGACTAGCACTGACAGCATTCAGTAGGCATCAGGGGAGTCCATCTAATAGATGACAAAAAGGTAACAGAATAGGATATAAGGATTATTATAATATCATCGTAATATGAATATCGTATAATTGGAATATAGATGGTGTGGCTCGTATAGGTAGTATTGTAGTAAGTATATTATAGTATAGAATATTAGGATTTAGGGCCTAAAGGGACCGAAAGCTGTGGTTTTATATACTATGTACATTATTCCGGGTTTATCTGGTAATTCGATCAAGTTATCGAAAACTGATTCAAATTCAAAGCAAAAGTCAACTAGAAAGTTTATATAAATTTTTTTTTTAATTTTCAAGCTCAAAGTCTACTAAATCCCACTTCCCAATCGGGACAATGTTCCCACTCCATAACACACAAATCATATTTTTCGTACATCCACATCACGTTTATAATGCAATAATTACTGTAATTATATATTAATAATTCGAGATATATTAATTGTATGTTGAGATCTCAATAAAGAAAAAAAAGCTCAAAGTCCTCCAAAATCTGGTTCCGACAAATTTTGGAAATTGGTACTTGAATGGCTAAATATTAAGTACTTTTGAATTTAACTATGGCCCATATGGGTACTTGTATGAGTTGTATGTCGTATGGATAAAGTAAGTTAATTAAATAAAACACGACTTATTCTTATGTTGCGCATATCAGTGATGAATAATATAATAGATGATAGAATATAGATCTGAGAATCTGAGATCAGATTCAGATTTCTTAGTTTTTTTTAATCTATATCGCAATTTCATAAATTAAAAAATTTATAAAAATGTAATGGTACGTAAAGTGACAAACTGATTACAAATGTACATTGGTGGCTATATAATTCGATCTTTTATGCTGGAAGAATGGGAAAAGGGCAAAGGATATATTATATTTATATATTACGGACGTTCTTAGGATTTATACATCCAATGTGTCAATATCACGTGTACTGTACTACCAGGGAGTCCAGTGACGTATATGGAAATAATTTTTAGGGTGGGCTATACTAGACAGAAACTAGCAAGTGATCTATTTCTTAGAGGCTACTGTCTACTATATATTTAACAGTTTCTATAAATATATTCGTATTTGTTATTTTTCAACAGGCTATGAAATATTATAACATATAATAGTACCTAATAAAATATATTGTTGTTCTATTTAAAAATACTGTAATTTCGGGGGGGGGGGGGGCTGCAGCCCACTGTGTCCAACCCCTATATACGCCACTGCCAAGGACGGATCTGAAGCTTGTTTAAGGGGGTGGCTAGTAGGAATATTTTCGAGTGATATATAGAGTACAATGAAAATTGTATTTCTATATTAATTAATAATTAACTTATATGAGTTCATATGAGTATACAAGTTCAATGTAAATACTCCGAACAAACATTGTTTAACAATTATTGTAATTAATATGATTAATTTAATAATGTTAGTTACAGTTTATAAATCTGACTTTTCCGACCAGGTACACAAAAACATTGCCTTTTAAATCCAATAGTATAAGACCAAGTTTGGCATAAATAAAAGTTCACCTCCCAAGCGTTTTTTGTTTTTTTTTCTTAAAAATTCGTGTTTTGCATACTTAATTTGATGATATATTCAAATAAAAACGCTCAAACTTAATTTGGCCACAAAAATATCTTTTTTTAATTTTTTAATTTTTAAGTTATTTAATTTCTCAATGCACACTTCCGATCTTTGATCAAGACATTTTTGAGTCTTTATTTTACGGCATTTAATGCGTTTGGCCGCCAAGAACGCTAAGAAGGACGATTCTTTAAATAAATCTGTGTAGCGGTATACGCGTTAAAACTTATGAACGAATGTAGCTTACTTCCTAAGCGGTTTTTTGGAATATTTTATTTTAGAAATGTTAAGATTATTATGCTCAATGTGTTCGTGAAATCAGAGTTTCTACACGGTATTATCTACATCATGAAATTAACTATTTAAAATAATTTTTTTTTAAATCCCGGGGAGGGGGTAATTGCCACGACCCCCCCTCCCATAAATCTTCTCCCGCGTACTACTATAGATGAGACCGTGGCGTTGTGCAAATAGCATTATTGGTACTCCTAATACAGTAATACCCCCTCCATAATTAGTTAAACGTTTACATAGTTGCTTACAAATTTCTGAATTCTTACAATAATCTTAAGAATTAGGTTAGGCGGTTAGGCCTTAAGGGTACAACATTTTAAACCTACTATTTAACTTTAGCTTTAATTCCAAATTAATATATGGTAAAAAAATCCAGTGAAGAGCAACGATATGACAGGTGGGCAAGTACATTTATGCACCCTTTGCCTCCCCCACTCTTACCACTGAATGATTATTACCGATTATAAATATACTATATATTATTTATAATCAATGTTATTACTTATTAGACATCGCGATGTTATCGGCCTGCTGTGTGATTATAATCCTATGACTCGACGATTTAGTTATCGAGACGACAAAATTCCACCGAATTTCACCAAACTTCCTTAACCACGAGAGTGTAAATTATTCTAAAATTATAAACAAACGTTTAAGTGAAAATTACAGGTATTTATTTTTTGTTTTTGATCCCGATAATCATGCGTACTCTCGTGTCGCGTACACTCGTAGTGTACTATTATCAACCATCTTCGTAATAATAAAAGTAATAATAATAATAATGATCATGATGATGACTAAGGTTTGGAACGACACGTCGTGGTCAGACCGTGACTTTGCAGAGGCGATGGTCGGAGGAGAGTCGATAGAACTCTGGAAATCACGGCCGTCGGACCCACGCGTCACGGTCCGAAAAACGTTTACTATTTCTCTCTCTCTCTCTCTTTTTCTGTAGATCTCGACTTCTCTTCCGAGAAGGCCGACGCAAACGGATTTTTAAAAGGTACATCACCGTGAACGAACATCGCTCACCTGCATCTCGATTGTCGGTGTATGCTACAGTACTGCAGTAGGTACACAATACTGTTGTTTTTATAATTATAATCATCGTAAACTCGGTCATGAATATTTTACGACTGTACGGGTATACATAACGCATTTCCGTGCACAGGTTACATTTGTAGGTAGATATAGTAGATACCTTTAAATAGGTACTCGCTGTCACAACTCCCGTATAATATATTATTATACTATTTATCATAGGCACACCGTATACTGCGGTAAGTATATCGTATATAGACCGCGACAAAAAATACCTACGTGGCCACTGGCTATACTTTACAATTGTTACATCGCGCATGTATAATAACCACAGTACATTTCGATTGACGCCAATGGCCAGTGCATAGTACACGTGCGTTATTTTTAATACTGTCAGTTAATCATATTATTTTGAATAAGAAATCAGGTAACTTTGCACCGACCGCCGACCGTGTATGTACCTAAAAACAATAATAATATAGTTTGATAATTCGTTTAAATTATTCGTCGGGCCCAAAGTGCTGCAACGCCGCATCGGCTTAAGACACCTAATTATGTTTATGAGTTATAACCGTTAAAATATTATTTAAAAAATATCATAATAATAATAATCATAACGATAACGTCCGTATTGCCTCAGCCGTTCCGCCGAAACGTCTGATCCGCCGCCGCGGAGATAATATTGATAATAACACCGCCGTGGCCGTCTTATTACCGAGTTGGTCGCCCTCGTCACTGCAGATCGGAGGAGGAGAAGTAGAAGTAGGAGGAGGCGGCGACGGCAATGACGAGCGAACCGCCGACGGACGGCCGACTTTGCCGTCACTACCGAGACGCGTTCCCGACGCCGGTCGACGTCATGATGCCCACCACGTACCTGGGACTTGACTTCAGCACGCAACAGGTATTATACTTCTACAGATATTTAAAATTTGATTATAATTGTATACCTATGATCTACAAATATATTATCTGAGGCGAACAAACCGTTTCTAAATATCGCGTAACCGTGAGCACAGGTGGGCGGGTGGGTGGTTGAGTAAGTGGGCATATAGGTAGGTCTCAACTTCCTTGTATATATTTTATATGGAAACGATATTATTTTTTTATAAATATTATTTATCGTTGTTAAATTTAATTTTATATAATTCATAGGTACCTAATATCAATACGACAATACGTATATAAGCTGGTAAGTTGTACCTCAGATCAGTCAGATCCCACGAAAAGTCCACGAATTATCCGTACCTTATAGGCATGGCCACCGGTCTATTATACTTGACATTATCTGGTGTAAACCATATTCGGTTTAATAAACTTTTCAGCCACCAGGCACCTTCGGAAATGAATAAAATATATGGTATTTATAGGTCATTAAAAAGTCGTACCCCGAAATAGAATGTATACGTACGTTATTATATTCCACAATTTATCCGGTATAGATAATATGCGGTGATATAATAATAAACGAAAAATGTTTTTTTCTTTAATAAAATTGGCGTCATTAGGGTGCGGCAACATGCGATATCTGTAGGCGATTAAATTGTTATCAACCGGTTCACCGGCAATGTTTTCAGAATATTACAATTGTTCTGTCCATTTTTTGTGAATTTAAATTTTTATAAATTGTGCATAGGTATAAAATGATATGATACTATTCTTTATTTTGATATAATTTTATTCTAGTCATACTTTATAAGATCAATTATATAGGTTTATCTTACAAATATATATAATTTAATTGGTTTTTAATAAGAATTTCATATTTAATATTTATTCTAAGTATAATTTATAACATTATAGTATATATTTTATTTAAAAACTGTACTTATCAATGATGAAACAAATTCTATATTCAATATACCTATACATATTTATTTTGAATTACATTATTTATTTATATCTATCTAATTATAAAAAGTATAATTTAATTAATACAGCAATGATAAAGTCTGTATAATATGAAATATGAATTATGACTTATGAGTAATGGTGAGTGTTTACGTACCTATTAATATATAATACTTCTATAGTCTATGTAGGTTATATATCACAATTTAGTGTGTAATAACTAATAAGTAATAACCTAAATAACTAATACGTATACTAATTTAGATAACATGTTTATAATATTTAATAATAATATCAATATATCATTGACCTTCCCAACGCTATGGCTATACTTATGGTTTTATAGTCACTTGGAATAATTAAATATCAATATCATATTAAATTATAGAAGATAATATTAAATTTTTGTTTTGACATTTGTTCGATAATTTACTGTACAATTTATTTCGAAAACGAAACTTTCCTCACTTAACGATATTCGTTTTCGCGAAAATACTATCGTCGGATGTTCACTCTTGAAAACATAATCAAGTGTAACTGTGTAGGGTACTTAGGCCTAATTTTTTTAGGGGGGTTAAATTTAGAAATTGCGTTACCGTAAGTCCATAACTGACAAAAAAATGACTATGTCCAAAAATATTGGTTGGGGTGTGGTTAACCCCCCTAGTTAGTATGCCACTTTATAGTTAATATAAACACTATAATGGTGTAAGACGACATGAAGTTGTACTCACATGTGGGATTTTATCTTACTAAAGCATAACACATCAAAATCTATGTTCAGTTGCAGTTCTGACTTTGTGTTGTTAGCTTCATCCTTAAATATTGGAGTGAATTGGCCTATTATCAACATTTAAGTTAAGAAGACCATATTGCGTGTTCCTTCGTTGGATTTTTACGATACTTTAATTTTTAAATGAGTTATGAGTAAATATGTAAAATATTGATAATATGTTATACTAATTTTAAAATATTTTAAAAACTTAAGTTGAGAACAAAAATAATGTTATTATACCTTAAAGTTTGATAATATTTCAATAAACAATACGTCATTCACTCTAATATATTCACTTGCTAACAACACAAAATTGGAACTGCTAAATGCAAACTTTCCATGTTATATCCATTTGAGACAACACATGCTGCAGGTGTGATGTCCTCTTAAAATATAAAATATGATCATTTTAACATACTATAGCGCACCATATAGTTTTTAATTTTATTACGGGCTGTGGAGACCGACATCGGTGACAGTGGTTGCAATTTGCTTAGTTAGAACTTCTATTACATTATTAATTATAGGACAAACATGTATTATGTATATTTTCTACCTATATACGTAAATAGTAGTGGACTATTTTACAAATCAAATTTTTACTACTTGCAAAAACGGTTCACTATAATTAATTACTCAACATTTTTAGTTACATAATTTTAGCACCCCCTATATTTTCATCTCTTGTTGCAGCGCTTATATGGTGGGTAAGTAATACTAATACACATATAGTTATTTACCACCAGTTATTAGTTATTACTTATTACTTATTACTGAGGCTCGGATTTAAATGCCATAAAACAATGCATTTTAACAGCAATAATATCCTTCAAAAATAACAACAATTTTTCTAACACTTTATTAGAAAACGAGAATACGAAAAAAATCGCTATTAAGATGTAACCCCAACTGACTATTAGTTGTTACTGGTTTAAGTCCTGGACGCACAATGCAGTCGACAGTCGTCAATCGCATTGTGGATCGATATAATATATAGACTTTACGTATATATACGTATCGAAATCATAAATTGAACGAAGGACAATTAATAAATGGTAGGTAGGAACAAAATTCCTTTAGTTAATACCTATTAAGTTTAATCTAAAAATGCATATAATGTTTAAATATTCAATACAATTTACAAAAAAAAAAATGCTCTAACAACGCCAAAAATGATGTGCAAGATAAAAGTTTTCAATTCTCTGATGTATGAAACGGATTTTATACTTGAATATCATTGCTTGGGACTCAAGAAATCCCAACAAAATAATACATTTTGCATTTATATTTGGGTCTAAGTAGTATTAGGTACTTATTGTCTAGTTGGTCCCCCATGACACAAAAAGGAAATTAATTTAACTGCACGACAATGATAATTAACTATAAAAAGTTAATTTACGGCAACAATAAAAATTTTAACTGAATAAGTTAATAAGTTAAAAACAAATATAATTAACTATTAGGTAACTAGTTAAAAAAATAACTTTTTAACAAGTTAAAGCCCACCTTTGCCGAAATGAATAACATTTTGAACAACTTTTTATTTATATTATTATTGTGTGAGTCAGGAGTCTTATTTAAAACTTAAATTTTTTTATAAAAGCGATCAATATTTCTTTTTGTACATTATCATTTTTACAATTTATTGATGGGTGGGGGTTTGGTGGACAGGCCTCTCTGGCTACGCCTCTTATATAGGGAACACTTGAATACTTATAGTATATCAATACTTGGCGTACGTACTATACTATATTACTATACTATGTGTATAGGTCCTCGTAATTTTTAATTAAAATGAATATTTCTAAGTTATACTAACAAATAAACCATCTGGTTCAAAATACATTTACGTGTATGATGATTGATGACTGACATCTGACGGATAAGTCAAGAAAAACTTGTCGATTCTTAAGATCGTCAACCTGGCTGATCCAGCCACCACTGAGATTTTTTCCAACTTTCGTTACTGGTTTATTTTACCTATGAACAGACGGTTGGTGTGGATATATATATATATATATAATTTATTATAGGGTAGTATACCCTTATAAGTTATAACCTATATATATACCTACCACTAGACTATATTTAAATTTAAAACTTTAACGCAGTTGAAAGGAGTTATTGTTGACGATGATCTGCACAAGATCTTCGAGGCCACAGTACATTTCGACACGGAGCTCCAAGAGTTTCGGACTCATGGCGGCGTGATTAAGGGCAAAGACAGACAGCATCGCGAGGTGACAGCGCCAACAGTTATGTGGGTCAAAGCCTTGGACGTACTGTTGGACCGGTTGCAAGTGTGCGGTGCCGATTTAAGTACAGTCTCCGCGGTTTCTGGTTCCGGACAGGTAAAGTTATTTTTTTCTTTTCCCCGAATGCTTAAGGCATATTGCATATGGGTATAGGTTATCGATAATCCCGCAATCGAAATACAATATTATATTACGAACAACAACCAGTTTACAAAACCATCATTGTAGACGAATAGACGATGTCATCTGTATGATACAATTATTATAATATTTAATGTGTATAGAATGGATTTTTTCATACATATTTAACTTCCGTAATCTCTAATCTCTATGCATGTTATTAATTATTATAATAACTATAGTATTACCAAAAAATGAATCTGTTATTTCTTCAACATCTAATCCATAGTTGGTTATTAACTTATAACTTAAACACCAATAAAAACCCCCCGGACAATAGCCCCCCTTCCCCCATCACCGTGTTTGTTTTAACCTATATTATGGCTATATTATATAATTTGTATTTAAAAAATGATTTTACAAACCCCTCCTTATAAAATTCCTGGCTACGCCACTGACCCGGATACCATAATAACATTGCGCTAATGATTCGATATTATATTATTTTTGATACCTATACTTAAATATTTTTATACGATTTACATACCGTCTACAGCAACACGGCACGGTGTATTGGACGAACGGTGCCGAAAAAACGCTGCAAACTTTGAACCCGGCCGGATTTTTGCACATGCAATTGGCGTCTTGTTTTTCCGTGGTCAACTCACCAGTGTGGATGGACTCCAGCACCACGAAACAGTGCAAACATCTCGAGGACACAGTCGGAGGACCACAGGTAGGCTGTATAAACATATTATTATAGCAATAGGCATACAACTGTACGAGATGTAACAGCTAACACATTGGTCTGACAAATGAAATAACTTTTGTTCTAATCAATATTTAAAATTTGTTTTTTGTTATACTAAAAGTTGGTTGCAATACAAGTAGGTACAGTATAACATGTTTTATTTGTACTTTTTTTATAGCGAAAACATATAGGGGCTAACATTTTTAACACCAATGCAAGTTGAGGTGGGGGGCTTCGATCCCACACAACTCAAAAACTGTATATATTTTCGAGGGCTCAGCCTCGACCACAAAAGTCCGTCAAACCCACTCCTTTTTTAGTTTTGAAGGATCGAAACCACCCCGCTCATAATGGTCTTATATCTAACTCAATAACTGATATTTTTGGGGTGGATAAATCTTAGTCAGGAGGGAGGCTAAGCCCCCCCCTAGTTGCGGCAATGTTCCATACGATGTTTTTTGCATAAACACGATTTCTGCACTAAACTATTTTACAAAGGTTTTAATAAACAGTTTTAGATACTACGGAGAACGAATTATATTGTTGACTTTTAAATGTTTTATATTATATTTTTTATTTTTTTTCATAGCGATTGGCCGACATCACCGGATCGAAGGCGTACGAGAGGTTTTCTGGGCCCCAAATCGCCAAAATGGCAGAAAGCAAACCAGGGGCCTACCAGAACACGGAAGTTAGACTTTTTCTCAGCCATCCAATCGACCATCCGAATTAATTAAATATTTTATACTATTCTAGAGGATATCGCTAGTGAGCAGTTTCGGCTGTTCGTTATTACTCGGCGCATACGCTCCGATCGATTGGTCCGACGGTTCGGGGATGAACCTGTTAGACATCAAGACCAAAGAGTGGTCGACTGAATGCTTGGAAGTAAATAATTTGACGACATTGTAATATATTACATCACATAGCAGTATGTCTATTGTCGTGTTCGGAATTTAGGCGTGCGCGCCGGGGCTGGACTCGAGACTGGGGCGGACTGTGCCGCCGGGTACCGATTTGGGCCCGATCAGCAATTATTATGTGGAGAGGTTCGGGTTCAATCCCGAGTGCCGAGTGGTGTCATTCACCGGCGACAATCCAGCGTCGTTGGCCGGCCTGTGCCTCAGCGACAACGACATCGCCATAAGTCTCGGGACCAGCGACACGCTGTTCTTGCCGCTGGACGAGCCCAGGTGTCTAGAAGAGGGACATGTCCTGGTCAGCCCGATCAACCGAGACGCGTACATGGTGCTTCTGTGGTAATTATACACTACACTATAGTACTATACAATTAGGGATACGCACACTGCACAGAGTCAAACATGACTTCGAGGTGTTTTAAAGTTTTAAGAACGGCTCGTTGACCCGCGAAAGACTGAGAAACCATTACGCCAACGAGTCGTGGGACCACTTCAACACATTGCTGGAGAGAACGCCCAGAGGAAATTTCGGATATCTGGGACTGTACTATGACGAACAGGAAATCATTCCGTGGATACAGGGTGACTACCGTTTTGATAAGAATGACGGGCCTGTGGACAGGTTTCCCAGCCGGGAGATCGAAGTCAAAGCGTTGGTCGAAGGACAGTTCATAGCTAAAAGGGCGCACGCCGAACAGTTGGGATACACGATAGGTTCGCATAATATCATTCGTGTCACGTTCATATTTAAAATAATATTGGTACAAAAGTAAAAAACCTTATGTATAAAAAAAAAATAGATGCCAAGACGAGGATCATAGCTACGGGAGGCGCTTCAAACAATAATACAATCTTACAAATTTTATCTGACGTTTTTAACGCACCTGTTTATACACAAGTCAGTACAAGCATTTACTTATATTTTTCGGACGTTTATTTATGTTTAACATAATTGTAGGAAGCTGCCAATTCCGCAGTTCTGGGTGCTGCATATCAAGCTAAACGTGGACTTGTTCAAAGTAAATGTACTGACTGCGTAGATTCATTTCAATCGGTGGTAACCACTGCCGCTCCTCCCACATTAGCTTGTTCACCTCATAAAGATGCTTATGAAGTAAGTCAAAGATACATGTTTGTATAAAAATGACACTAATTATTTATTACTATTTTTAGATTTACACTCCAATGGTCAAGCGGTACAATAATATTATTAAAGAGGTGCTATCAGCTACTAGAAAATGAGAAACACATATAAACAGAACTGCTTTTACATTATGACATTGATACTTAATATATGTTTTATATAATTAAATTAAATATATTTATATGTTATCAAATATTACAATAGTGAATAAAATGATTTATGGTTCTTTTAATATTTTTACAATTATTTTTTACGACCACCACGTTCTTTCAATTGCAAATGAATAGTCGAACCAGGTCCTATGTTGTAATAAGCTAACGTATTGGAATCTTTGAAGAACAATCCCTAGAAAAATGATGTAAAAACAATTTAATTCATTACTTTTGCATATAATTTTCTAGTTAGAATTTGTTTACATACATCACATTGCAGTTTTTGTTTGCCAGGCGGCATTCCAGTCAACTCATGAATTTTTGTCTTAATCACAGACACTGTTTCTTGTAGTGGTAATGTTATATTTAATATCTGTCCATTGAGAGCCCATTCCGGTTTGTCTGTGAGAACAGGTGTTCCAACATTAAACATGACAGGACCCTGAAATGTATAATTGGTTAGTAGATGATCCTAAAATTTCAAAAAATGTATTTATTCTATATACATTAAACTTCATCATAAACTGTATTTCAGGTTCTAAAGAATCTTCTGTCTTTTGTTTCTTCATAAGTGGTTCATCTTCAGCAATTTCCATCATGTGCTTCATTCCAGGCTAATGAACAAGTTTATGCCAATAATTAACAGTTTTTTTTTTTAAAATTATTTAATGTGAAAACATTAGTGTATACATACTTGACCCTGAGGTAATGGAGGTTGCATCATTCCTCTAGTAGCGCCCAAAAATGGATTCGGTGGCATTTGGGGTTGCATTACTTGATAAGCTTGAGGTTGGGGAACTGAAAACATGTTAATACCAATAAGTACAGGAACAATTAATATTATATAAAGATTCTCGCATAAAAAAAAAAAACCAAAATCTTGGTTCTTACAAAACATATCACAATGGCAAGCATAAAATACATATTATACTATTATATTGAACTAAATATCTAATATAACTTATATGTCTAATAAGTTAATATCAAGTTATGTAATAAGATAGTTTTAGGTGTGAAACAATGAAAAATTTAGGTCACCAATTGTATACATTAATAGATTATGTTATTGGTTATATATTTGTATAAATGATTTCTAGTGAAATTAAATTTGAAACCCACCCATCATCTGTTGTTGTTGCTGAACCATCATCATAGATTGGGATTGCATCATGTTAGGAGCATGTGGTTGCATCATTGCATTTTGCATATTATTAGCCATTGACATTTGCACAGAAACTGCTTGAGAAGTAGGCGGATGAGAAATAGTTACTGTACCTGATACAGGTTTTGGACCAATTTTTTCTTTTTCATCATCATGAATTAGACCTTTTACTTTATGAATTTGGTGAATTTGATCTTCTAGAGTAATATTAGCTCGTGCTGCACGAGTTGCAGCTTCTACACTGGAGGTGTGCCCATCCCATGTAGCCTAAGACAAACAAATTATATTTTTAATCCATTTTAGCATAAAACGTAACAATTTTCTAATTTTTCTTACCTTATCATCTTTTCTACTTTCTTCTTCACCAATTTTTTTACCAATGGCAGTTTCTTCAACTCCAACACCAAATATATCAGTACGACGTTCAGCCAACTGTTTTAAACTAGCCTCAATAGCAGCTCCTGAATAGATAAAATAATAATTTAAAAAAAAATTAGGTAAATACTAATTGATAAACCATTAGTTACCTGGAGCATACACAGATTCTTGATTCATTTTATCACTGATATGCTTGTCTCGTTGTTCTACCCAACGGGGATCTAATAATCCTATTCTCATATGTTCTTGGACTTTGCTTGCAGGTATCTTTTCACCAGTAATTGGAGATATTAAATATTCTTCAGGAGGTGCTTTAACTGGGGCTCGAACAACTGTAAATATAAAAATCTAAATATTAGTACAACTAATATACATGTTTTGTGTTAGTTAAATTAAATCTTACTTTGTTTGGGATTGTATCCCTTTTTCACAATAACCTTTTCTGGAACAGCCGGTTGAGTCATTTGATTTGAACGGCTGTCAGATTTCGAAACACCTGGTGGTAAATCACCGTCATCGTCACTGGACGATTCATCCATGTCTTGAACCTTATTTTTATTTAAATTAAATAGTATAAAAAATATTTTAATAAATAAATAGAAATTTTAAATTTTACCTGGTTGTTGTCTCTACTGGACTTTTCTTCACCGGGCACTCTGAGTTCACTTTCCGGTGCATATGTTCTACCATTAACTCGTTTTTCCATTTCATCATCACTATCTACCTGCATGTCATCTTCTGCATCACTCATTTCAACAGCTTCTTCTCCATTATCTACACGTTCTTGCATCAAGGTACGCACACCAACTTGATCCGGTGTAGTTGGTTGAGGGAAATTGCCAATTTCACCGTATTGAAAGTCAACAGTTTCTACAACAACAAAATCATGCCAATCAATCTGAGAATAGGCCACTGAAAAAGGTATGAATTTTATTAGATTATCAAAAGCTATAGTATCTTAATAAAACTTACATCTTTCTTTTTCTATAAGCTGTTCTTCTTTTCTACGTAAAGCATCTTGATGTTTTTGCCATTCGGAACGATATTTTACATCATCTAAAATTTTTTGACGATCATAACTTTCTTCTTTTAAACACTTCATAAGATCTCTAGGAGGCATCAACACTTTAGTGTACTGTTCAAGAAGTTTTGTGAAATATTGAAATAATGAATGTTGTGGACGTAAAAAGTCAAACTGAAAGTTACGTTGTTCTCTTGCCATCAGATTGGTTAAAAATTGTCTGCCATTACGAGCAACGAATAATGCTGTAAGCTTCACTGTGTCTCTGAAATTTCAAAATGTATTTATTAATAACTATGGGCAAAGTTAATTATTAATACATACAAGTCAAGAGCTGATATAGATGGAGGATCGGCAATGAATTCAAATTCTTTTGGTGGATCTTTTGGTACAAATATTGCTTCCTGCACTTGTTTCAGAAGCTCTTGTTGTTTAAGTTGGGTGGCAGTTGACAATATGCTTTTAGTTTCTTTTGGTGGTAAGGTTGGCTCTTGTGCTAAAGCAAAATAAAAATAAATAGGTAATTAAGTCACTTATGTAAGTACAACAACACAATTAAAAAAATGAATACTCACCAGCTTTTTCCCTGAGGTCTTTGACTTTGTGTACATAGTATGCATGGTAGGGATCTCCTTGGGTAAGAAAATTGAATTTGGGATTGCCCAATTCATTTTGACGAATACGAGACTCAAATTCTGGTCCATTTCGTGCTACAAAACTAGCAGTTTTATCGACAATATCTTGATTAAGAGGCAGTTAAGAAACTATTCAATGAATTACAAACATATTCCATATTATATTATAGCCTATAATAGTAAAAACATCTCTGAAATTGATAATAAGATCTGGTTTGACACTTGCTCCCGTGCAACTATACTTGACTCTGTCCGATATTCATAGGCGCAACTAGGGGAGTGCTTGGGGGTGCTTCAGCACCCCCAGTTCAAAAACAGCAAAAATTGAAAAATCATATGAGAAAAATAGTTTTTTTAGCTTTACTTAAGGTTTTTTTTATTTATTTCTTCGTTTTTAGCAGAAACAAAAATTATTGTTTTTAATGGTTGTATAGGTATATCAAATATTAAAATTTAGAATTCCTCAATTTTTTTTGGAAATTTTCAGTTAGAAATTTATAAAAGTTTTTCCTTTCATAGCTAACATTATAAATGTTGATAGAAGACTCCTCACAATTGGTACTATCTTAAACAAAAAAAAAAGTTTACTGGAAAGTTACATACATTTTTTATAAGCGTTTGAATCTAAAATGTGTACAACATTCAATTTTCAATTTTTATCAGTAAATTAACGAAATTTCATCTATTAATTTTGATATTTTATTGTAATTTAAAAACGAATAATCCTAGATACTTGAAATTTTTATCAAATGTTAAAATTAAAATTTTCCTTACATGATAAAATGTTTAAACAATTTTGACTCTTTTTGAGGTATTTATAACTGAGAAATTTTTCAAATATTTTTAATTATTTTTCAGATAGCAATTCATAAAATATTTTCTTTTCACAGTTAAGTCCCAATATTAAAAATTTTAATAAAAGATTTCACATAAGTTTGTCTACCTATAAAAAAAAACGTATACTTAAACTTGAATTTTTTATGAGTGTTCAAACTTATAATTGTCACGATATTCAATATTCAGCGGTAAATCGAATTCCCATTAATCAATTTTTTGGATTTTGTTGTATTTCCAAAATGAATAACCGTAGACTCTTGAAATGTTCACCAAATATTTATAATAGCATTTTCCATACATCGTAAATTCTTTAAAGACTTTTGACTTTTTATGAACTATTTATAGCTATTTATGAGAACATTTTTCAAATTGAATTCAAATATAACACATCCACTACAACGACATTCTCAACAACTATTGTACAGCAAAGCGGTACCCACTTGACCACATTCTTTTTTATCTATTTACATTTACAGTTTACTATTTTTTATTTTTTTACATCAGGTACATTACTGTTGATTTACTTAAATATAAGTGTCCTTATGTGTTCATGGTGCATTTAGGAATGGTTATAGTAATTATAAAATCAAAGTATGTTATTTTGGGGTGTGGGGGCGTAGCCCCCGCGGGTTTGTGTTCTCTACATAATTTTAGCACCCCCAGTGTTTCGCCTCTAGTTGCGCCTATGCCGATATTGTATTCCCTATATTTTTTTCAGAAAAGTTAAACAATGATAAATTAAGTAAACTAACAATCGCATACTTGTATATCTAAATACAGGGTGTCCCGTGAGGATTTACTCATTAGCCGTAGAGGGGGACTCGCCGCCCGGACAAAAACCAGTTTATTGACGTTTTACTAATAAACTAAAAAAATTATTAAAAATCATGAGATTAATGAAAATAAAATGTAAAAAGCTCAAAATGTTTACAAAAATATACTCTATAGAATGGCTATCTTCAATTTTTTCAAAAATAAAAAAATAAAAAAAAAATTTTTTTAACTTTTTTACTAAAAAATTTAATTTAATTAAAAAATAAAATATTTGTAGTGCTTACCTCTGCGAGTCTTAATAAAAAAACATAATTACGATATCTCCATTATTTCAGGAGATATCGCAATGAGTAAATCCTCACGGGACACCCTGTATATTTCTTATGTAATCAGTACATTAGGTACTAAACTTTAGGTTTGTAGTAAAACAAAATAATTCAAAATTAAATTAATATAATTATTGTCAAACAAAGGATACTCCTCACTTCCGGCGGTGGATAAATAATGCCAATAGTAGGAACTTCTTCAACTACTTCGGGCATCTTGATAGTCGGTTTACTGAAGTCTATGAAAAAATTATGATAAATGCATATATTTTAAAAATACACTTATATGTTTGTTAAATAAATTTAAATGTTATACAAGTGGAAAAACGAAAGATCACATTTCATCTTTAAACACAAAACAGAAAATACAAAATGGTAATAAAACTAAAATTTGATAACACTTGTTAGAAAATAGAAATCTGAAATAATACAAATTACAAAATATAAACAATATTTTAAAAAGTAAATAAAAAAACACTTCAATTTTTAGGTTAGTAGCAAACCAATTTGGTTTATACCGCATCAACTGAACTACTATCTTGGTTGATGTGTAATCACTGTAATCAGATGATTGTTGTTATCATTGTTGTGTCGATAAATGAAATGCATATTGCATAATACCTATTACCTGGCCTCGCCTTGTCAAAGTACTTCTAATTGTTGTCATTGTTAATACTTAATAATTAAACATTTTATAATTATAAAATATCGCATAAAAGTAATACTTTATACTGCTACTTGAACGAATCGATATAACGAAATTTATAAGAACACATCTACGAATCCGTGGTGCGGATCCAACATATTTTCTGCACTGTTACTACCTATAGCGACAATCTTGTTTTCGAGTTACCGACAATTGGCCCACGGGGACTTGGCTGTTTAAGGTCCTTTAAGGGATTTCTATTATTTGTAAGTAGAACTTTACTGTGGATGTAATCACCCTGAACAGAAATAATCCAATTCATAGTTACCATAGTTTCGTCAACAATGTTCAGTCAAGTACCTGCTCGATTCTTAGATTCCTACACTAGACTATAAACCTAATCTTGAAGGAACATTGAGTTTTATATTTTGAACTTTTCATACATTTTCAATCACCTAACCTAATCACGATGATTTTATTTCTATAATATGTATCAACTGCTATACGTATATATATACACACCAGGTGATTTGTTAAGCATGCTCACCCTAATTGTATGCTTAAATTATGCATAGGTGTATTTAAATTTTGATTTTGTAATTTTTAAATACATTTAAATGCCATATTTTCGAACCCTTGAAATTGTTTGTACCAATTAGGACTGATCCTGTGCCAATCTTCTGTTTTTTCAAATAAGAATTCCTATAAAAGCTCTATTTGAAAAATAAAAGTTTGTATCGCCAAAAGGCACTGCTAAAGTAGTACTAAAAATATCAACAATTTTAAAATATGGTATACTTAAAAATCAGAATTTGAACAAAATGTACTATTATAGGGAAAAATAATGGGTGAACATGCTTAAAAACCACTCTGTATATAGGTAATACTATATATAAATATATTATATATCTGAAATTCTTCTATTGGAATTTATGGCAACAAATTGTGTTTTTCACAATATGGAGTTGAATCTTAACATTTTCCCTTTTGTGTTGCTCTGTTTTTAGATATTACACGAATTTCAGCTGTAGGTATTACCAATAACCCATTATTTACAGTCAGCATACTCTTTACACATGTTTTCATGTTAGTTATTATACCCATATTATTTTATTATAATATTGTACTTATGTATTTATAATAATTAGCTTAAATGTATCAATTTTAATATGTAACATCTACCTATTTAAGTTGATTTACTGACAATCATTAATACTTGTTAATTTTATTAATAATAACTTTTTTTAGTAGATATTTGTTAGTAAAATCTATCCTTTAAAAATTTTAATTTTACACTGTCTTGTTGTTGTCAATCTAACTATGAATTTAAAAATAAATTGTATTCTTATTGATCACTATTAATAGCCCTAAGGAAGTTAAAGTGGAAGATTAATTAATTAATTACAATAAACTAATTAGGTACCTACTATATTAGAATTATACCTGTCAGTTTATTTATACATTTATTTTGTTACCTATCTAATTTATTTATAAATAATTTATATTATATTATAATCATTTGTATATTATAATTATTATAATATACAAATGAATAGGGTATTATTAATCTATATAATATATAAAAATGAATGAATGGGTCTTATAGCCTAATTACTGAACCAACTGGCACCACATCAATCCCTACAGGGCGGTGCACAAAAATTGATTTTTTTTTTATATATATTGGGTTGCCACTGGTTATAGAAATAAAATTAAAAAGAAGCAAATTAATATAGGTACACCACCTAACTTTTTTTAAATAAAAGAAAAAATATTTAATTAATTGTTGTTATTCAAATGTGCAATAAAAGACAATGACTATATATTTGTAGCTTATAGATTTAAAAACTACTTACCAATTTTGAAGAAAATTTCAGAAATTTTTCTTACAAATATCAGGAATGTTCAAAAGGTAGTTTGAACTACGTATAAAAATATACCAAGTGCCTATAATATACATATATACAATGAGTCACATGCAGATGGCCGAAATTAGTTGAGTTCACAAAGCTAGGTGCATCGATGTCGATTTTCTAGTAAACTGAGATACACCAATAAAGCCATATTTTATGTTTTTAATTTTTTTCTCGGCAAAGTCTGATTAAATACAGCTAGTAATAAATTATAATACTAATACTTTTATCCAGATAAAATTTAATTTATTTTTAAAGTTAAAATTTTAAACGCGGTACAACTTATTGGTTTTATTTTAAATAATTCATTGTTCTATAACTCATCGGTCATCACTGTAAAAATTGAAAAATGTATTTAACAATGTTTCATGCATTTTATTCACATTTTAAATTGTTTTCACTAAAACAAGTTTCTTATATTGTCACTTTAAGTCTTAAGAGCTCGTTTTAATCCTTTAAATAAATATCTTAAAAGTGGCTTCTATAATACATATTAATTGCTTTATTTATTTATTTTAGTGTGATACTCAACATGGGATCCTTCCTGTTGTCGTCTTCATTTGACGCTGATGTTGAAAAGGCAACAAGTGGTACTAGTACAACTGAAGATTGGGCTTTAATAATGGAAATATGTGATAAAGTGGGAGCCTCGTCGGTTAATTCCAAAGATTGTTTTAAATCGATAATAAAAAGACTTTATAACCAAGACCCACATGTTGTACTCCAGGCCATTACACTTTTTGATGCATGCGTTAACAATTGTGGAAAGAATTTTCTACTCGAAGTGGCTTCACGACATTTTGAACAGGAATACCGCAAATTATTAGCTAAAAATTTACCTCAAAAAGTGGCAGATAGATTAAAATTATTATTAAAAAAATGGGCAGAAAATGAATTCAAAAATGATCCACAGTTGAATCTTATACCATCTTTATATACTAAATTAAAACTAGAAGGTGTAGACTTTTCATTGTCTTCAGATGTAAACAATTCAAAAAGTGCTAAATCGAAAGATTTGGTATCATTGCAAGAAGTAGATGATATAGCTAAAGCTATTGAACTTAGTTTACTAGAAAATGAACGTTCTGCACAGAAAAAACCTACAGGTGAAACAGATCGGAGAGCATATTTAAAAAAGGTAAAAGCTCTGTATGATTTTGAGGCAGCCGAGGACAATGAACTGTCGTTTTCCGCTGGAGACATAATTTACGTTCTTGATTCATCTGATCCTAATTGGTGGAAAGGATTTACTGACAAACATCCTGAAGGTCTTTTTCCAGCCAATTTTGTAACCACAGATTTATCAAATCCAAAGGACATGGCTGAGGAAGTCAATACAAAGAAATCAAAAGTCAAGCATTCTGCTGAAGATTATAAGTCTGTTGAAATTGATGAGAATAAAATTGATTGTTTGCTTCAGCTATTACGCGAAGCAAACCCAGAAGATGACAGTACAGATTCTGAAGAAATGTCCATACTGGAAGCACAAGCAAACGCCATGGGGCCAATGATAGAAGCACAACTTGAACAGCTTGACAAAAAACATTCCCAACTCACACAATTGTGTACAGAACTCTTAGAAGCTGTAAAATTGTATAATATATTTATGAAAGACCCAGTGGCAGGCTATGCACCCAAACCACAAACTGAACCTATACAACCTCCTACAATGTCACCACAGCATATGATGCACCCACAGCACATGCAAATGTATAATGGTATGATGGCCAACTATGCACCCCTGCCAGTTGAACATTATATGCCTGGATCACAGTATCCAGTTAATCCCACTCACATGATGTCCAGACCAAACATTGGAGGTCAGATGCATGAACAGCCATCATATCAAATGCCCAACATGCAGAACATTCCCAATTACAATCAAGTGTATGGTCCAGGTCATAGTGTACCATCCGAATCTTTACCACAAGTCATGAATTATGTACCCCAACCCCAACCACCTTCACAACAGTAATCTAAATTACTTTTGTACAAATATTATTGAGCCTCGCTTTTGCATTTTACTTTAGTAGCATACAACAAAAAAAAAACACATTAAGTACACAAATAAAGTATAATACAATTATTGCTCATTGTTATAATTTTTTTTCTTTTATATATTTTATATAATATTTATAATACTTAAAAAGAACAATGGTTCTCAAATATACTATATACATTGTATCTTTTATTTTATGGAGGTAATTTAATATTAAAACAACAAAATATATATAAACTATTATTTAAAGGCCAACAACACTGGTGTTTTCATTTTATCACACCTACGTTACTTAGCTCTGTAAGAAATGCTAAAATAATGTACTGCGTCCTTGGATTTTATCGATATCTTATATTCCTGCCGTTAAATACTTGAAATACCTATTTGTGCCAAAAAATATATGATTTAAGTAAAAACCATTTGCATCCAAAGCAAAGTATAATTCAATACTGTTGCCAAATTCACCTGTATAAATAATATACCTATGATTTTCCAATTAAATTAGTTAATTAATTATTCAATAATTATCATGAACATCATAAAAGTATAACACACAATATAATATTATTATCTTAATGACTAAATGTGTACATCAATGATTATTGACTATTAAATATCAAGATTCCCTAATATTTCCTAGTATAATAAACTACAGATCACAGTCCTTACTATATCCTCTCCAATTGTAGTGTTGCTCCATGTGACTTGGATCATATTATACTAGGTAATAAATAATAATCCATTCCGCTCTATTCTCAATTATATGAAATTTAAAAAACTTGTTTTCCACTCTCTTTATCCCATATTTACTGAATACTGATGCTATTTTCTCTAATATTCTAATAATGTCATTCAAAACTGTTTTTCATTATCCTTCATATAGGTTTTAAAATTTTAAAAATATACTGAGTTTTCCATGTAATATATTTTATGTATAATAGTTGGAACATATTTTTTTTCAAACATTTTTTGAACAAAAAAAATTTAATATATTAACTGAATAAATGATAAAATTATTATTATTTAAGAAAGTTTTCTCTTTAGTAATAGTAATTACTACTAAGTATTATTTTTTTGTCCAAAATAAATTATAAAATTTAATTTAATTTATTTCTTGTTGTTTTTACTAAATAAATGATACCAAACAGTCTGTACAATAATGTGATACAATATAAGCTACCATGATTATATAATTATATAGGTATTGATTTATAATTCAATAATATTGTTAGAGGCGTGAGTGGTATGTAGAGGAAGTAACAAATTAGTCATTGGTAAATACTAAATGGTAATACAAGTTACAACCTCATAGTCATAGGCGTGCGCACGGGGTGTTCCGGGTGTGCCTGGGTACCCCCTGATATTTAATTGGGGCCCTAAAATATTTAATATTTATTTGGTGTTTAGCATTGTACAAGTTGTTCATATGAACAGGTAGTTATATTTGAAATTAAATATTGTGAAAAGTAAATTTAGAAGTATCATGACTAGGGCACGGATGTTGTAGTACTAAAAAAATAGTAAAATTGATTGCAGTATTGCACTAAAAAATACCAAAAATTGCACTAAAAATATTAAAAATTGCACTAAAAAATAACAACGTTTTGTTATAAATGTTTTAAGTTTACTGTTATAAATTATAATCTAAAATTCTAAATAATTCCAAAAAATATATATACATTACATTATAATCATGCCATTATAAATTTATTATATTATACATCATTGCACTGTACTATAAGTGTTTGTTTTAAATTTTCGAAATCAAACCCTCTTCGATTTGGAGCTAGTAAGTTCTTATATCTCGAAAAATTTCATTCTACGTCGGTTGATGTAAGCGGAGCGTATTTAAAATAAGATAAATCGCTTACTGTTAAGTCTTCGGGTAAACCATCGAACGATTTTCTTTGTCCAGTTAGTATATCATTGATTTTAATAACGGTTTTAACTCATATATAAGTTTTAATATTGCTAAAATAGTTGTATAAATGAGTAAATTCGACAAAATTGCAATAAAATTGAAAAAATCCCAAAAATTGCAAAAAATTGCACTTAAAACTTTTAGATTTGAATTCGTACTTACATGAAACGTATTTAAAACTTACTTAGCAATTAATTGAAAAAGTAGAAAAAAAGTTGCAAATGCAACATCATCCGTGCCCTAATCATGACCCAATACTGTTTGGAATCATTAATTTTACTTTTTACGGAACAAGAAATGGCCTCTAATGTTGAAGTAGATTTAGTTATTACTTATTAATAAGTTTAATAATTTAAGTAATAGACGCATATTATTATAAATCTATAACTGTTGTATTAGAATGTTAAATAAACATGTAACTAAGTAAGTAATATTTATTTGTACAATATAATTTACTAAAATATATATTATGTACAATGTACATGTCTTGTTAAGAGAGGGCCCAAGTTAAGGAAAGGGCCCAAAAATATTGTAGGAAACTAGGAACCCCCCGAAATCCAGGTCTGCACACGCCTATGCTCATAGTTGAATAACTAAAATAATTCCTATGATTAGATATTATATATAACCTAATCATTCTCAACGATGAGTCATAACCACGAGTTCAAATAAAAAATAATTTAAAGTGCCTTAGTATATAATAATTTATACAATTATTTATGATTCATACTGTTGTCGTCGCAATACAAAACATTATGTCGTCAAAAATATATTTTTACATATTTTATTTCTTTATTTATGGATTGTACAATTGAACAACATAGGTACGTAGGTAGGTAGGTACTTACCTAACTATAAAATTATAATTTTAAAACTATACAGTATATAAAATAAAAAGTTTCAACTGGATACCTAATACCTATCTTAAAAACTACACGTAGTCGTATCATCTCGACTGACTAATAAAATAATTGTACAATCTTATGCATAAAAAAAAAAACAGTGTAATATTAATTATAGTCTACAAACTATATCCTTAAACTATGTTCATAAACGATCGTGGCGTTTTGAGTTACCTACAATTTATAGTACCTGATTGGGGAAGTTCAGCTGATAAAAAAAAATCTAACTATTCTATATAGTATCTATATTAATATTATATATACAATGGCAAGATAGATACAATTATGTAATACAATATAAGGAAACTGTTTTTATAATTATATTTGTACAACAGTGGTGTTTTTGATTCTCGCTGTTTATAATAATGAGTTACATAAAATTATACCAATATTAAATAATAATACTGATTTGCACCGTCTCGTTATATTTACAAATTACTGTCGACCTGTCCGACACACGAAGGGTCTCTCCTTGCAACAGTGGCGTATTATATTATTAAATTATTCATATAATATGCCAATTATTATGTCATTCGCGGTCGGTTCCGGAGAAACGATCGACGCCACTGGCTCCGGACGCCACTGAGCCCGAGCGCGGCTATCTCATGCTCATCGCGTAGTCCTTCTCGTCAATGCCGCCGCCGTACGGTATGTAATACGGGTTCTGCGTGTACGGCGTGGGCACGTTCAGTGCGTTGTAGGACTGCCGAAGTGGTGACGACACGGACGACAGCTTATGAGCGGGCAGCGTGGCGTAACTGTTGCTGTAGGACGCGGCCGGCGACATGGGGTACAGGACGTTCTGGCCGTTGGCCTTGGGGCACGGACACGCCTGATTGGTGCAGTGCATCGGGGCTCCGAGGACGGGTGGCAGGGCGTTCATGTGCGAATTGTACTCGGCGGTGGACAGCCGTATGCGGACGATGCATATGATGATCACCAGTATGGCGATGAACACCACAACGCCGGCCACGATGCCGATGATCAGCGTGTCGTCGTTGGCGATGGTCGCAGCCGCGGCCGGGTTGGGCGACTTGGCGACGGCCGGCGACTTCTGTTGCTGGTGCGGTGGACTGGCGGTGGCCGGCGGCAGCGACCATATTATGTCCGGTTCGGTGGTCGTCCGCTGTTTGGGCGCTTTGACGACGATGGGGCCGGCCGTGGCTGCAGTGGTGGTGGCCGCGGTTGTCGACGTCGTGGTCGTGGTCGTGGTCTGTCGGCTGACGTCACAGGTCAGGTCGTCGTCCGGTATCTCGATCAGCAGGCTGCCGGCCACGAACGCTGGCGCGGAGCACACCAGGTCCAACGCGAGCGGTGACCGCCTCAGCGCCCTGACGTTGCAGTCGCAGTAGATGGGATTGGCGCGCAGACCGTTCAGTTTCAGCGAGCTCCTCCGGTCGTCCAGGGCGGCCAGGAACTGAGACGTGAGTGTGGCCAATTGGTTGTCGAACACGTCCAGTTGGATGACCGATGACCGGGGCAACGCGATTAGCAGCGACGGCGGCAGAGCGGTTAGCGATGTGTTTTGGATTCGGATGTGCACCTGCCGGTACTTGAGGCCGGCTAGTGCGCCCGACGATATGGACGTGATCTGCTGTCCGCGTATGGTCAACGACTTGAGCCTGGGGTTCATGGCGGCTGACAGCTGACTGCCGATGGACGAGTCTTTCACTTCGATCTCAAGCGCCTCCAATGACTGCAGGTAGTTCAACAAGCCAGTGACGTCCAGGTAACCCAGTTTCGGATATTCGTACATTTTCAGTTCGACCAGGTTACCGAGATTTCTGAACGCGTTCTTTTCGATCTTGTCGCATTCAAGCAGATCGTTGATCCGCAACGACCGCAACGATTCCAGCTTGTCCAAGTCTCCCACGACGACGTTCGATATCGGGTTCCAAGAAACGTCGACCAGCTGCACCTGATTCAGCTTCGGCCAAACGGCCCTCAAGGACGTCAGGCTTTGTAATTCGTTGTGCGACAAATCAAGTTCCTCTATCAGTGTCGATCGGTCAAACATGTTTTCGTTCACTTCCTTTATCCGATTATAGGATAGATTCAGCTTCTGTAGGAACGGTGTTTCCAAGGGCGATAATGACGTGATACCGGTGCCCGCCAAATTCAATTCGCGTACCGTTTTGGGTTCACTGAGTATATTTTTAATGGTCGCTTCAGATAGATTGTTAAACGACAAGTCGAGTTTTTTAATGTTTACCAATATGCTGTCGTCGGTTTGCAATTCGGTCAGTTGATTTGAAGACAAGTCTACGGATGACAAAAAGAAATATTGTTTCTGTAAACTTTTCAACGGTGCTATTGTAAACCTATTCTTGGCCAAGTTAATGTTCTCGAGAACTTTTAAACGGGTTCGGTCGAAAATTAAATCGGGTAATTCTGTCAAATTATTATTTTCCAAATCCAAGTATTGTAATCTATTCAATCCTTGGAAAGTTCTCTCGCCAATTCGTTCCAAATTATTGTTGGCCAATTTAATGTATTGCAATTGGGTAGAATTATGAAACGTCGTCTCACTTACGGTGTCTATTTGGTTATTTGCTAAATTTAATTTTCTTAGTTGAGGTAAACCAGCAAAATCAAATTCTTCTAGCGTTTTCAAACTATTTTTGCTTAAATCTACTTCTTGCAAATTCGCCAGACCAGCAATAAGCTCAGAAGGGAAAAAGTTAAATTTGTTATTTGATACTTTGATGACTTTTATACTGGGATGTACTTTAAACGTAGACGGGAACAAATAACTAATTTGATTATTAGACATATCAATTTCTTCTAGTGGTGTCCCATTGCTTCGTTTTGTAATGAAATATTCTCCTTTAAATGAAGACAATTTATTTTTAGACAAATTTACATATCTAATCGAAGAGAGGCCCATAAATGAACCGATGCGTATGTTTGATATTTGATTTTCCGATAAATCCAACGTAACTAGGTTCGTCAAACTTTGGAACATGGTTTCCGGCAACTCGGTGATACCGTTGTTTTGTATGTAAAGGTGAGTAAGTGACGAAGTCTTGAAAAACAATTCAGGGCTCAAGACTTTTATGCTAGTAAAGCTGATATCGAGTTTTTGTAGTTGTGTCAATGGGTGGAATACGCTTACAGGTATCAAAGCTAAATGAGGGTTGTGGCTCAAGTTTAAACTTGATAACGAAGACATCACGGTAAATGTATGTCGAGGTATTTCTTTTAGTTGATTGTATGACAAATCGAGAGTTTTCAACTTTTGAAGATTGATTGGCTCTGATGAAAGCGAAGCAATTCTGTTACCTTGAAGATTTAAATGTTCCAGAGTGTCTTCTAAACCTGAGAACGTCGACGGTTCTACAGACAATAGTAAATTTCCCGATAAATCAAGAACTTTTAAGAGTTTGAAATCCTAAAAAAAAAATTGTCATATTAAGAAAAATAAAAACCACTTATTCATTTTTCATGTAATGCTTACTTGAAATACATCTGGAGGTATTTCTCTGATAACGTTTCTGCTCAAACCTAGTTCAATTAAGATTTCTGACAACCCTCTAAGAATATTCGAAGAAAGTGCTGCAATTCTATTGAAATCCAGACGCAATTTGCTCAAACGTGGTAACTTACTGAGTGCAGTTGCGGGTATCAATAAGATGTTATTATCTTCCAAAGACAACGATTCAAGATTTGTTAATCCTTCAAAAGCATCATCTTCAACCTGTCAAATATAATATAAAATTATTATATAAATATTATATAAATCAAAGTTCTTTAAGTAATCAAAATACTTCAAATATTTAACTTACAGTTCTTAACATGTTTACAGCTAAGTTTAAGATTTTTAATTTCTTTAAGCTCGTAAAAGTTCCCGGTGAAATGTTCCCAATGTTATTCCTACTAACGTCTAATACTTCTAATGATGTTAATTGCGAATTCTCCAATTTCTAAAATAATAAGAAGTTATAAAATAAATTAAAATATGCGTGTTTCTTGAAATAAGTGTTATTTATACTATGCATAATGTCGTAATTCATAATACACATTTTTTTTAATTCAAAACAAATTTTATTAATAATTTTACGTTACAATATTTACTTGTATCAAATTTGAAGATAAATTTAATATTTTTAAATTATCAAATTTTCTTAAAGCAAGAGATGGAAATTCAACAATAAAATTGTTCGAAATGTCTAATTTGTCCAGCTTTTCTGCACCTAAAATTAATAAAAATGAAAATGTGTAATTAAATTATCTACTACAAGTTCAAAATGTTTTTCTATTAAATTACCATAAAAAACATCACTGTTAAATTTTGACAGTCGATTCTCTGATAGTAAAAGCTGTTTCAACATTGATAAACCTTCAAATGCTCCTATTTCAATGTTGTTTACTCTGTTTGACGATAAGTCAATCTTAATTAAAGATTTTTGTGACAGAAAAGAACCTTGTTGAATACTATCTGAAAACGGATAATAATAACTGTTAATATTGATCATTCAGAAGAAAAATTTATTCACTGTAATATACCAATTCGGTTATTTTTTAGAGATAAAGTCCGTAGCATTTCGGGGCCATTCAATGACGTGCTGGGTATAAATGCTAAACGGTTACCGTCCAACTTCAGTTCCTGTGAAATTTATTAATAATTTCATAAATGACATATTTTTATTTAAGTGATCGATTTATAATACGCTACCTCTAAATGTACACAGCCCTTTAATATGCCTTCCTCTAAGGATGATATCCTATTTTCGCTGAGATCCAATCGTATTAGTTTCGATAATCCATGAAATTCCGTAGAAGAAAATATTGGATTTAAGGTGTCGCCTAATAAATTACCGGCCAACCTCAGATCTTCAACTGTATTCTGTATGGTATTAAATGACTTTTCGGACAATCTTCTTATAGAATTTTGCGACAAGTCAAGCTTGACTATAAAAGCGAAAAAATGATTTACATTATTTATTTGCTTTTTTAATTTTAGTGTTTTCCGATTTACTCACCCGTAGACGGAAATAGTTGTGTGGGCACAGAATGGTGACCAGCATTTCTCTGGGTGAACACCAAGACCGGCGCGTCCTTTGGTAAATTCACGTGGTCGCCTGGATATACTACACCATCGCAGTTTAACGCTAGACCACCGATCTGTCTCAGTTCTTCGCATACACAAGGGTACCGGAACTCTGATTGTAAGTCTTCACATGACGTAATGGTGGACAGACATGAGTTGAAGACCATTAACGCTGCTACCAATAGCACCTCCTTCCATCTGGTACGCATGATTAATCTGTGAACACAATATAATATTATATTATGTACTATTATAATAGGTAATAATATACCTATAGGCATTAGACAATATATTATACAGTTTTAAAATTGATGATATTTTAACTGGTTATTATCATCTATTATTAAATTAATACTGAATTGACCAATACATAAAATCGCCGATGTTATTCCTTTCACTGCGAGCAACCAACCGATGGTTTGAGTTATTAAATAATTGCAGATAGTTAGCTGGGTCCCGCTATATAGGTACAATAAATAATGACAGCACGCACTGCAGTAATCCTGATAATGTTACATAAAATACTTGTTCTGGGACCGTAATAATTAGGAATTAGGTATTGGTTCATCGCGATATCGTTCTAGTTTCACAGATGTATTGAATTTCAGACAGCTTCTAAGATAATATTAAAACTCTCGATAACATCGACAAGTGTAGCTGTTATGACAAGGTGAAAAACGAGACTTAATAATATTTAACGTTAATCTGAGTGTCAAACCCATTAAAAAATGTAATTTTTCCGACTTTCAGTTCTCACGTCATTATATTTGGTGCCAGTATGTCAACGATAAGATTTAATATTGCAAGAACTATATCATAAAAGGGGTTTTTTATTAAATAAAATGTTTAAGAATAAATTACAATATTATAGTTTAGCCTATATAAGGTAATCTATATATAACCATAGATATAGGCACTTATAAAACACCATTATAGAAAATTAATTAAAATTATATTCGTTTTTATACAATCAAAGTGATCAAACATATTATACATTTATACCTAACTATAAATTAGTCTGGCATCTTTCTTATAAGAATGTACACATTGAGTTAGATAATGTGTATACGCCTACCTACCCTCAAAATATTTAATATGATAAATATTAAATAGTGAATGGGTTCAAAATAATTGCCCATTAGTTGGTATCGTACTTATGTATACGGGATGTAGGCATACCCCAACATTCAGAATGCGATTAAAATTAAACTTATCTAATTTTACATCATAAACGATTAACGAATCAGATCACGCATTAGGTACATGCAACAACAGCGAATAAGTCGTAATTTATAAATTATAATCGATCATCGCGATGCTGCAGTCTTGTGGATTAAACACTATAAATAAAGGTAATTTAACATTATTTTTCATGTTAGGCACTTAAGCATCATGGTGCAGTTATCAATTAATTACCGACACTTTATACTGTTACTGCGGAATATCTATTTTAACTAAATTAATACCTATCTACTAATCCGTTTAGCCACAGCAGTTTACTAAAAATCCGTTGTTTTTCTTTACGCATGACTATATTATATTAATTTTGTGCTTCACTGCAATAATAATAGCATTACATTATTTCAAGTTCACGTGGAATTATAGTGCTTCACTGATTTTCACAGTATGTGTTGGTTTTTTTTTTGGCGGAATGTCTCATCAACCGGAAGGCTAAATACCTCAGGATATTTCGTACTCGTGTTCCTATACTGCGTCTCCTATAGTGGTTGGTATACATATAACATATTACATTCTAACGGTAATTGAAGACGAGTCGAGGAATGCAGAATCGTTAAACGCCTAAGCCGGTTAGCACGAGACGACTGAAGATTTACCGACCAATACACACGTTGGAGACATTTCGATAACTTGTATGGCTAAATCGAAGACATCAAATGTAATAAATAAACAAATGAACTTTGTCCCGATGAACATACATTTGCAGTAAATATTCATAATACATTATCGTACGAGTCCTGCTACATCGATACAAAAGTACTTCTCAGTTCAAGTCAGAATATAAGTTACAAATCGAGAAATTATCATTTAAATCTGTTGTATACTCTAAACAACAGAAAGAGTAAAATAAATAAAACAAATTATTTCAAGTTTAAATTGTACAGACCGAAAATCTCAATAATTGATGAAAATGTGATTTTTATGACTTGCTGTTTGCTTAGTCTTTCCAAAAATGCAGTGCCAAAGTTTCTATTCTAAATTTCAATACTCTTGCAAAATAATTTTAACCTTAATATTTATTATTTATTATATAGTAGTTATTTCTCTGACAATTGCAATACTAAATACTAAAAAAGTGATCGATCTTTTAATATTAATTTAAAAAAACACGTTTTCAAAATGCATGACTTGAATTGGTTACAGATTAGTATGATATAATATACCTAATATTAAACGCCCCATTCACTATACCATCTATACTACTATACCTAATATGGTATAAAATTATGATGTGTTAGTGTTACCTAAACATCATAAATTAATAATATATATATTTTTTATACACCTGCATTATTATTATACAATACACGTTTTTTTTTAACATTAAATTTATCACAATACGACAAAATTGTGATTATTATTGAAAAATAGTACCTATACACTAATACATAATGCATGGATGTCAATGTAGCATTTGCAAAGTATTAGTTCATAAAAAAACATTTCAGGAAAACCACTCTTCGAATTAAAATGTAGTGATGAATATACAAACGGTTCGATTAATAAATTCAATTTATTATAACGATAACTATAGGCTGTCTAGGCATAATAATTAAGAATAATAATCTAGTCCCTATATTATTATGATGTTTTTTTTTAATTTTGAGAAACTTATATTTTTAACTTACCTATACAAGCATACAAAATATAATTTTCGTTTGATCTTCACATTCTATAAAAAATAAAATAAACTGTACGAAACAGTCCGTCCGAATTTATACGATACTTACTTCCTACATATACCTACCTAATAAAAATTATAGTTTACAATTAAAATACTCGTAGGTATATAATATATATAATACATAAATGTATAACTATATAATTATTGTAAATAATTTATAAATTATAATCAAATACTCACAAGTTTTATATATAATAATTCATATTATAATTGATAAAATACTTCATAACTATATTGAATGCTGTGTATCTTAACTTTCTACTTCATTTATTTTAATATATCTTATGCAATTGTTTATGTATAATATATTAATTAAAGCATTAAGGAGTGGACTTGTGCACGTCAAGTATAGGCACCTATACCAATATATTTTAATCACAAATATGAAATAACATGAATATTTTTCAACCGATTACCTACTATAAAGTTATTAATGATCATTATAATTACGAGGTATAAATGTATAATATAATAGAAGCGTAAGGTGTTACTGTGTTAGTATGTTGTTTGTTAGACAATAAATCATGAATAAAAATAATTGAAATATTATACATCTATGTATCAACCTAAAGTTTAATTGAAATTGAATAAATTACCGTCCATCAATATCGTCAGTACCTAAAGATAATACACTAATACGTATTATAAGATATAGGAATGTGTCGTAATTTTTATTAAACCATATCAAATGATTTTATATATTCACCCAGTGGCGTATTTACGGGGGTGGTCCAGGGGTACTGGACCCCCCCCAGAATCTCTCAAAAAAAAAAGAAAAAAAAGTTTTACATATTTGCAGACCCCGATATTTATGTAAGCACACGCAGACAAGGTTTTTTCCCGTGAACAAAATATTTATATGAAATATAGTTTAAAATTAGCCAACGACCGAACGTTCAAAAACCCATGTAACTAAACTTATCCTTGTATTGTAGTATTACACTTTATAAAATACCCATATTAGATAAACATCAATAATTCTCAAAAAAGTCAAAACATTCTTATCGCAAGAAATTGACGACGCACATCATTCTCCAATGAACTATTTCTATAGGACAGTATAGCTGGTAGCTATTATTTATCTATTTAAATTTTTGCTTTGTAAACACGGCAATTGTCGTAGAATCATTTACTAAATACTTCATGTATGTATTTTGTTACCGAACGACGGCATCGGCTACGAGTGCAAGTATTTGAATATTATTTCTTCAATAAAATATATTAGATCTATTACTTATGTAAGTACAAATTAAATATATACCTAGTAAATTAGGTAGTAAATAATAATAATAGCTCATTGATCCGATGTGAGCAGTAAAGAATTTATTATTTTTTATAATAACATAAAACATTAATGTAATTTTTGGAGTCAACTGGCCGACAATTAGTATTCATTTAGAACCATGTTTGCCTACTTAGTATTTATTTTCTGTTCAGAGATTAGCAGAGTGATATTTACTTATACTATAATTTAAACCTTTCATTATTTTTACGTGTTAACACGAAGTTGACAACATAATATTATTAAACTGCTATGGAAATAATATTAATTGTCAACGTGTAATGAGAATAATTATTGTCTCTCATTTGTGATAGGTGTAAATACAGATTTGACAAAACCTAACATTTCATAATTATTTAATAAATGGCATCAAATTTATTTTTTTATTTTTTTTATAGTTGTATAATTTATAAATTATTTGTATCTATTTATTGTTTGGAAATTGGAATTGGAATAAATATGTCTTCAAATAAAAAAATAAAACTTTGTAAAAAAAAAGACACTTGGATTTTGTACTTGAAAATTATAAAATATAATAAAACAACTATTTTTTATTCTTATAATCTATTAAAAACTATTTCTATGTATCAGTTACTTACTATAGGTACTGTAACTATCTATATTATGTTGGAATTATTGGACCACCCCCAGAAAAAAAATGAAAATACGCCACTGTATTCACCTAAAGCAGACAACGGATAATAAGTGCATTTAAAGTATAATTATTTATTCAGTAATAAAATTAAAACATTAAAAATATAGTATAGTATAAACGCGTTGATAATACATATATAAGTTGTTTCATGAAACCGTGATTCAAATTTTTCAAAACTTATATAAATAATAATAAAATTTAAGCATAACTACTTTAAAATCATAAAAAAAAACGTGAAGCATCTAAAAGGTTTTTAAAATTTAAATGTATAAAAATAAACTGTGATATGTATAGGTATTGTTATTTATTTGAAATTATATTTTTTATATCATTATTATTTATTAATTTT